AGGCTTTTGGGAAGTTCTAGGGGCATAACTTCAACAAATTCTCCCAAAACATCTACCACTATATGAAGTACTTCAACTAGCACATTTGGTTTGATCTCCACCAAAGTTATGAGGTATGTCGTCTTGACCTTCCACAGACAAGTTTCACTTGCATCACGAACAACATCTCCATCTTCCGTTTCCTCCTTTTTTACATTGGTCTGCCACCATTGCAGACACAAAACATGGTGCTTTCTCATCTGAGATCAGCACCCCATTCAGATGTGGCATCAGTGCCATCTTTATCTTGATAAGATCTCATTCTCGAGGATGACATCAATGTCGTCCAAGGGCATAGATATCAAGCTCACAAGGCCTTCCTACAAACCCATCTTTAGGCATATTTCTGTCGCGCCATGCATCGACATTGCTTCAGAATTTACTACCTTGAGCTTGTTAGTATTCTTTGTCAATTGTGGGCCAAAATTTCCTACTTCCCTCTGGGCAACGAAGTTATGAGTGTCTCCCATATCCACAATAACTAAGACTTCCTTACCATTCACCCAAACCTGTACAAATATAAGGGTTTTGCAGGGTTGCTGAACTTTGCTCACTGTGATTGCATTCAACAACTGCAGAAGATTAACTTAGGTAGGGCATGCATCGTCACTATCATCCCTACTTGCAACAACAAGGGCACCCAATTTCTCCCACTCGGGGCAGTCCTTGATGTGAAGGGGACCGCGATAGAGAAAGTAACCAAAATTAAAGTTTTTTTTCTTCTGGCTATTGTCTTGATTTTTGGAGTTCGCAACGTTCTTTTTTTTCTTCCAATCTTCCTTCTTTGTGTATTTAGAAGTGCCAAATTTATATTTCTTGCTGCCATCATCGTTTTTTTTTATTTTTAGAAGGGCTTTGACTGTTGATCATTTTGAAGTTAACCACGCTATCTATAGTAGCAATGACAGTGGGCAAGTCACACACCCCCTACCTATGCAATTCGGCTTGTGCCCAACCTTGCAACCCAGACATGAAATTGAAGAGTTTGTCCTTTTCAGACATGTTCTTGATGTTTAGCATTAATAAACTGAACTCTTTCACATGATCATGTACAGTTCTGGTGTGCTTCAATTTCTTGAGTGAATCCCTAGCAATCCAATCCATATTGCTAGGGAGAAATTAATCCTTCAATTCCTTCTTCAATATATCCTATGTCTTAATTTTGGCATGTCCCACAGATGCATTATCCTCATTCCGGTTTACAACAAAAGCTTGGCGTCTTTGAAAAGGTACATGCTGGTTATGACCACCTTCTCTTAGTAGGCACATGGAAAACTTTGAAGTCCTACTCCATGTCCCACAGAAAATTCTCCAAATCCTTGGCACTCCGGGTATTTCTAAAGGTCTTAAGTTTAGGGACCTTGATTTTTGAAGACGTCTCGCCCACCACAGGTCGAGAATTCATGGCCCTTTTCACCAGGGACAGCTCGTTTTCAAGATCCTTCAGGTTGGTTTTGACAACTTCAGTGAGGGACATAATGTTCTCCATCATCGTTACAAGCTTCACATCGTTATTGGCCACATAGCTGTCAAAGGCCATCTTTAAGTCGTCAATCTGAATAACGTGTTGCTCCATCTATATAGCAGCGCTAGTTGCAGCATCACTTTCAGGGATGCCCAGAAAATCCTCGAGACGGATCACACATTCTCGTAATTCAACAACGTTTCCTCCCATCCATTCCCTGAGCGTCCAAATCATGCATGAATGTATGTATGAGTTTAAATGCAACTAAATGCATATGTATGGAAAAAATTTAGATCTAAAATGAGATGCAATTTTCAAATTCAAAGTAGAATGCACAAAGTCATTAATTCGAAAATCACAGTTATTCGAAAACTGTAACTCTAATACCAACTATCACGGAGGCTAATTTTTACTTGAATTTTTGCCTCGTGATGGCATTAAGATCTCACACTCAATCTCATCCGATGCACTCAAATGCTCACATAAATGCACATACGAATAAAATAGAGACAACAGACAAACTCACAGCAACACACAAGCTTTATAGGCTAATTGGCCAAACTTTTTTCTTTCTCAGTAATGCGTAAAAGAAATTCAGCCAAGGGTCTGCTTACAAAATGTGTCCAACTCTCTTAGTTACACTGCAGACCCATGCATGCCTATATATAACATAAAATGTGGCAGTTACAAGCCCAACCGCCTAGATAATGCAAAACAATATCAGATTCGCCCACAAAGCCTATTGACCATGGCTGAGACCTTCAGTCATTCTCCCCAATGTGCTGGTCATAGAAAATACAGTTGCAACTATTGGTTGACCCAGCCAACAACTATCCATAACCGTTGTGCATGTTATGTGTATTTGCTAGCAATTCACTCATGTTGTGCACATGCCAGCATTCTGCTGCATACGCTGCCTTCCTCAGCCATGCATTGGGCTTTCGCCAATAAGGGTCCCTTCGATCATTGGCCCCACATTTCGTGTCTTGGATTTTGAAATTTCTTGCCTCACTCATGACAAACATTTGTTGATGCCATGCCTTACTTTGATATGCCAAGGCTTAGAGGTATAAGAGTCTCAAGGGAGGCTGGATTGGTAGCCTTTTCACGAAGCACTCCCTTATAATAGAATTAGTAAGCAAAAATGCAATGACAATAACGAATATACTCTGGGCCGATGAGTCATAATAATTTGAGTCAAGTGCATAATCACTACTTGCCACTTGAATCTTTACTATACCACTTTGTTATTCAACCAAGTAAACGTCTAAGTTCTTAGAAAGTCAACTTTGCACTAAGGGTTTACTTCATAAAGTATAACCCAATTTGACTAAAGCATAGGCGAGTTTGGGCGAGACAATCACATGCCAATACTGAACCAACGAGCTAATGGGATAACAATAACCTATTATTGATCAATTCATAAAAAAATTAATCGACTTGCGAATAAATTAGTCTTAACAATTTTGAGAAAAAAAGAAAGAAAAAGAAAAATAAAGAGAAAGTGAAAGAGAAAGAGAAATAGAAAGGGACATTAGAGAAAATTGATATGTTTGCCGACATCCATAATTGAATTCAAGGTTTGATGAACATACACTCAAAACTCTTGTCGTCTGCCACGATTACGAACCGATGTGGACTAATGAGGTGAGGCCCAAGAAGTTCCCTTCTTTCTTTCTAACTGCTGCACGTGGCAGGTACGTGTTGTGGCGTCTCTTTCTGTATTATGATCCTTACTTGACATTTTGGTTTTAGTTTTGTACAAGCTCTCATTCTATACTTTCTATTACATTATATCATTAATTATTAATTATAACTATTAAATTTTATAAAATAATTATTAAATGTGAAAGTTATTATAAATTATAAAATTTAGTAGGATCTACAAGTCTTATACATTTATACATAATTAGTTAGTGACACTTTGTAACAATGTGATATGATGTCAATGTCATAATTTGTTAATATTATATTTTTTATTTATTAAGAATAAAATATGTATAATTTTTTATTATTTTAATAATCAAAGATAATAAATGCATAAACTCAAAATTTACGATCACTTATCAATTTTAATTTGATACTGATTTTTTTTTTTGGAGTATTGTAGCCTCATTCTGTTGTCTAAAGCTACCACTACTATTATAATTTTTTTTTTATTACCATTGTTAAATAAAAGTAATTTTATAATTTTTTTTTTATTTTTTTAGTTTTTTTAGATCAACAAGTAAAAAAAATTAGATAAAATATCTTGGCTAAAAATTATTTCTTTGCATAACAATATTAAATTATTTTTGCTACCATGATGCTACACTTTTTTTTTTTTTTTTGAACTGGACCATGATGCTACTTCAAATGATACATTTGCTAGAGTATGAATCAGTGAAAACAGATATATTACCATTATAATTTATTATTCATTACTCAAACACAAACGAATCCAATCGAAATACAAAATGATAAAAGAGAAAATGCGAGAAAGAAAAAATAAATAATACCAAGTTTTTTACTAGAGTTGTGCAATTATTATTTATTTTGATGAATTGTAAAACGTGGCTTTTGAATTATATATGACACTAAAATCATATGTGACATACATAAACATGTCGGTCTTTGTTGTTGGCCTTCTTAGTAAGACGGGTTGCCTCTTCAAATATTTATATCAAATTTTACTCATTAATTGATGTATTTCAAAACACTCATGGTGCGGTGAGATAAATATTATCAGTTATGAGGCATTGTACATTGGTGGGTGGATGACATGTATCCGATTGGATCGAAAAAAAAATTAATTAAAATTTGTATAAATTGACTCAAATTTTATCACGGAGGAAAAAAAAAAAAAACTTTCCCTCAATCAAAAAGTAGATAAAAAGTAAACACATGGAAGGGATGGGGATGGGCCAGATTATGAGGGGTCGTTTTAATGAAAGATAGTGATAGACCTTGTTTGATTCAAAGGTATTGATTGATAAAAGGATATGCTTTCTCTTGGTTTGAGATTTTGGGAGATACTAGTCAAACACTGTATGAGCACATTTATTACTCTAAAATCATATTCTTATTTGGTTTTAAGCTAAGCTTTTTAATGTAGACAATCGTCCTCAAGAGACATGAATGCACCACCCTACACGTCTGAACCACATATAGATGGAGGGTACACACACAAACACACACAGAGGGGGGGGGGGGGGGGGTAACATGTACTGAATGATGGGATAGAACGACTTTGGTTTGAATAGGATAACTATATATTGGAGAAGATTAATTTGGCACCCAAAAAAACATGTGAATTATTTTTTTTTTAAAATTATTCCAACATCGCTCTTGCTGAATTATATGTGAAATTGTTTGCATTGATAACGAGGCACCATACCAAAAAAAAAATTTGAAATTACGTTTTTGTCCATGCATACACTATTTATTTTTTTGATCAAAACCATGCAAAAAATAAATAAATGAAGAAATAAGCTCTCCAAATAATGTAAGAAAATTGAAATTTAATAGGTGTTATTATTCATGAATTTAAATCTCTAATAAATATTAGCAACAGTATCCAAACATCAAAGTAAAGTCTGTACTAACCAAATAATAATAAAACAAAACAAAAAAGATGAACAATCCACAATGAACAATCCCTGATCATCATCTATACTATACCCCAAAAGGACTAGTAATAAAGCCTATCCAAAGTCACACTCAAGACAAGCGAAACCGTTGTCACCAAGACAACTGAAGGAGTAAATGCTGGTGCAAATGACCCTGGTGGTGGTGGTTGTGGTGCGGTGTTGTTGGCGGAGGCCGGAGGACTGCCGTTCGGAGGAGTCAAAGTTGAAGGAGATGGCACTACGGGTGTTTTTGATGGAGGGGCCGATGAAGGTGGCTGTGAGGCAGTCGGAGAAGGTGTGATTGCTTGTGTAGGCGACTCTGCCGGACTCTTGGCACTCGGTGAAAGAGCAGGAGACGACGCTGGGGTGTGGATTGCCGGAGAAGGCACTGGGGTGTATGCTGCAGGTGAATGTGACGCCGGTGACCCCGCTGGTGTAGGAGATATGACCGGAGGTTTAGCAGCCGAAGATGGCGAATTAGGGGTCATAGCTGGAAAAGGCACTGGGGTGTGGGCTGCCGGTGAATGTGACGCCGGTGTCCCCGCTGGTGTAGGAGACATGAACGGAGGTTTAGCAGCCGAAGATGGCGACGTAGGGGTCATAGCTATAGAAGGTACTGGGGTGTGGGCAGCCGGTGAATGTGACGCCGGTGAACCCGCTGGTGTAGGAGACAAGACCGGAGGCTTAGCAGCCGGAGATGGCGACTTAGGGGTCGTAGTCGGAGAAGACACAGGGGTGTGGGTTCCCGGAGAAGGCACGGGGGTATGGGCTGCCGGAGAATGCGACGTCGGTGATCCCTCTGGTGTAGGAGACAGTACCGGTCCTACTGGAGGTTTAGCAACCGGGGAAGGCGACTTAGGTGTCGTAGCCGGATAGGGTGATAAAGGTGTGGACCCTTTGGGTGGTGCAGCCACCGGAGAGTGACCAACCGGCGCCGGAGCTCCGGGAACTGGAGATGGAGACTTGGGTTTGTTCCTCACAGCCAAAACGACGATAATCATTTTTTGACCTTTGTCACAACTCGCTTTGTTTCCACTAATGAAGTAAAAAGGACCTGATCGATCAAAGTTGAAAACTGAATTACCATCCTCCATCTTTTTGATTGGTTTCTGTGTGTTGCACTTGTCATAATCATCTTTGTCCACCACTAAAACAGAGTCCACTCCTTTCTTATACTTGAAAACTGCAACAACACAAACAAAATCAAAACCACAATTACCATATCAAACACGAACTGATACATATATAATTATATGTGAGAGAGAGAGAGATTAAGGAAGGGAAATTTGTGTTAAGAGGCTTACAGAGGGTGTCATTGACTTGGAACCTCATTCTCGCAGACCAGTGATTGTAGCTTTCAGAAGGGTATAAGACCCAACCCTGTTTACCACCGACATTAAACTTGAGAGCCATTGACAAAGAGATTGACATGGTAAAGAACAGAAAAAGGAGGCAGAGAAATCTCTGAACAGCCATGGCGGTGACAAATCTATAAAGAACAATTGAAGGAGAGTTGTGAAGTTGATGTATACAGTAAATACAGCAAGAGAGGAGAAAGCGCTAGTGAAAAGGAAAGAAGCTTCTCCGAAACTCGGGGTTCACGGATAGAACCGAACAGAAAAGCACAGGATTAATAGACAGATGAACAGAGAGAGAGAGAGTGAGCATTGTATTGGGTTGGAAATGGCAATGGTGTCATATATAGGGAAAATGGTGGGGACTTATCTAGAGGCTACCGTTGCAGCACAAGTAATAACTCAGCCGCGTTTATTTTCTGTTAATTTGGCGTTTACAATTTCAATATACGTGTACTGAGACTTAACGGTAATAAATATTAAATTCAAGGGTTTGTGTATCATAAGCTGGAGCCTGATCACAGCTCATGAGGTTTTGTTTCTGAGCATGTTGATTAAATGCATGTTGTTCATTTTATATGGTAAGGATTGAGTTGGCCAAGACTTGGCCCCACCAACCAGCAATTAAATATGAAAAAATTGGTTGTGGTACACATTTTATGTTTTATTTGAATATAACTTCTTAGACTTAACTCGTAAACAAATAAATTCTTTAAAGTTTAAACAGTAAAATAATTGCAAGTAAATACACGTTTTAATTTTTATTTTTTTAATATTACATAATTATTCATACCTTGATTCATGTATAACTAATTGACAATTTTCTTTTTTTCAAATATGAAAATATTTGAAAAGATTTTTTTTCAGTGTTCTTTTGATATATTTAACTGTTCGAATTTTAAAAGATTAATCTTAATTCATTTCGCATTATCTTTTTGAACCGATTATGTGTTCTTTACCATTCCAATTTGATTTCAAAAAGCTTTTGGAGTTTTTCGTGTCCATCAATTAGTTTGGTTTTTTTTTTTGGTGGTTTTGTGTTCAAGTTAACGACACCAAATGGTCGAGCCTTCAATCCAGGTTTGATATGATTTTTTTTTCTTTTCAAAATTCTTGATTTTTCTGATAAATTGTTTAATTGCTGTCATTTCCTCTATTACAGATTTTTTTTTAAAAACTATTTTGATTGTTATCGTCTTCAACAATTATATTTTATTTGTTTTTTTTTGTTCCATATATTTATCACAGGCCATAGAATATTCCAAATCAGGTTTTTTTTTTTCCAAATTTATCTTCTTCATAATTCCATAATTTTTTGAGAAAATATAGTTTGATTGGGATCGTCTTTACTTATTATATTTTTTTTTGTTTGAAGGGTTTATGTTGTTATTATATTTTATTTTTATTCCGAAATTTCAATAATTAGTCCGAATAAAAGATTTTGAACCACGTATTGTAATTGTTATTCGAATGTTGAATTTTTATTTTTACAAATCGGATTCATTTTAATTTGGCCATTATTGATTTTTTGAATCAAAATTTTACGGAGACTTGATTGTAAATCTTTCTTTAAATTTGAATTATTCCCCATATCTATTTAATCCACTGTTTATTGTCACTGTTTTAGTTTTTAGAATTTAAGTATCTTCATTTTTCTAATTACAGGTTTACCAATGGCGGAAATAATGTTTTTAGTTATCAGATGTTCTATTAGTTCAAATTTTGATTTTGTGTTGCGCGGAATTTGTGACAAATATGATGAGTTGAGAAAGGTCTCGGTCAAACTATCATATTCTATTTTGGGTCATCTAAATTGTTGTTTGCGAAATGATGAGAACCTGAAAAACATGTTTGAGTTGGTACGTTTATTACCAACAACTATATTGATACGAAGGTGTACGTGCGAGATGATAAGTTAGTGTTGATGAGTCCGGAATTAGTTGGGTCAGGCCTAATAAATTAAATGGACTTAGATCAACTAAAAAGATCCTTCAAGTCCAGCTCGTGGGTTCAACCCAATTCATCGATTTAGCGCAGTCTAGAATTTAAGGAGTCCAAGAATAATAGAGCACGTGAGGATCAATCATCGAGATAGTCACTCTCGAAGATTTAGGCAATCTTTAATTGTACATATATTTTGTGGCTATCCTCCCCAAAGGGTTAGTACATTCACTCTCACGTCACTGCTTTAACTAAGGCTTTGTACCTATAAATTATAAGTTCTCTCTACATGAAAGGACATCTCTTTACAAACCCATCACATAGTGATTTTTCTCTCCTAGCTACCATACCTTTCATAGAGCTAACATTTACTCTCTCTCACTTTACTTTATTAATAAAGGTTTTTCACCCATCGTTGTAGTTTTCGGAATGAAGTAGATCCCCCTGACCAAACCACTATACATCTGTGTGTTAACTTGATATTTGTATTTTATTATTAACTGCTTATTAATTGCCTCATTAGTTACCCTAAATCATATACTCGACTATTGATTGTGCATAAGACTACTTCATGCATCATCAGTTTGACATCATCTGTGGAAAACGACTAAGTTTTCTACTACTTTACTATTCTCTTTCAAATTCATGGCAATCACGACTATGTTGATAAATCAACAGTCGGATGACAACAATCCAGCTCGCAGGGAGGAGGCTTCGCCTCCGCCTACACTAACGGAACCATCCACTGTGGCAACTCCCATAATCGAGCAACAACTTTTGTAGACCATGCAGTTGTTGGTAAACCAAAACCAGCAAATTATCTAGTTGATGCTCACCTCCGGAGGCGTCGCCCCTCAGCCTATGGAAGAAACACCACTTTCTTTGAGAGGAGAAGTACCGCAACCTCTCCACTTGGCGCCCCCCAGTGTGGCACCCAATGCTAAGACGCCCCTTGCTAGGGGGCCCCTCTTCAGCGCGCAGGTGCCTCACATGTTCCCCCTCCTCATGTACCTACTCCATATGCTATCAACCATCTTGGGCAGGAGGATGAGGGAGAAAACCAGTATGCTAATCATGAAAGCCACTACAATGATCCAACAGAGGATGTCCCCAACCAATGAGATGAGAAGATCAAGGAGGTACAAAACCAGTTTGGCGATGCCCTCAATGCCATCAAAGCATAGACGCCAGAGACGGTGAATTATTTGGTAAGGCGTATTGACACCCCATTTGTTGCAGATGTTGTCAATTATCCCTTACCCTCTAAGTTCAAGATATCTGTCATCAAGATCTTCAATGGTACCAAGGAACCCCTAGATCATCTTGACACATATAAATCTCTCATGCAACTCCACAACGTGCCTGATGAGATCATGTGCAGAGCCTTTTCCACCATCTTGAAGGGGTCTGCTCAATAATAGTTCGAGAAGATCAAACCCTCTTCTATCCACTCCTTCACAGAACTGAGAAAATTCTTCCTCTCCCACTTCATTAAGGGACATCGACATCAAAAGCCCGTTACTCACCTGCTTACCATCAAATAGGACCAAGATGAAAGCATTAGGAGCTACCTCACTCGATTCAACGAGGAGGTTCTCCAGATCGAGGAACCAGACGATAAGGTAATCATGGTCGCCTTTATTGTTGGTCTGGGATGCTCTAGTTTTATGTTTTCTGTCTTGAATAAGCCGCCATCTAACATGCCCAAGCTGTTGTCAAGGGTACATAAATACATGAATGTCGAGGATGTCATCAAAGCCCGACGAGGAGAGTCATCCTAAGGAGGGGAGAAAAGGAAAGACACCTGTGAGGACAAGCAGGAGGTAGAGAACAAGAGAAATAGGAAAGAGAAAGTTTCTATCAAGGACCGCCTTAGTCCCGTACCCTAGAGAGAACGACAAGCCTTCACACCTCTTAACACCTAGGTGGAGCACATCTTGTTCCAAATATAGGACGAACTCATGTTGTGCTGGGCAGGTAAGATGAAGTCTGCCCCAAACCGCAGGAATTCAAGTAAATATTGTCGCTTCCACTGCAACCATGGCTAGGATACTGATGGCTGCTTCGAGTTAAAGAGGCAGATCGAGAAGTTTATTCAGCGTGGTCAATTATAGTAGTATGTTGCTAGTCAGTTACAACAGTATGTTGCTGGCCTTACCCTTGGTAGGAATCAGGAGGATCGAGAATGTCAACAACCCCCTAGAAAGATCCATAAGATCTCTGGAGGGTAAGGAGGAGGAGTTGACTCCAACTCCACCGGGAAAGCACACACACTAGGAAAGTCAAGCAAGCAGAGTTGCATGACTCTCACCCTACGAAGACACCCTGGCGTGGGAAAGAGGAGATCATCACCTTCTTGAACAAGGACCTTGAGGGAATCCAAGCCCCTTACGATGATCATCTAATCTTAACCATGATGATATCCAACTACCAAGTTAAGAGAATTTCGATCGACAGTAGCTGCTCAGCCGATATCCTATTCGCACCAACCTTTGACAGCCTCCACCTTGGTAGGGAGAGATTGCAACCCATCAGGACTCCCCTTATTGGATTCTCGAGGGAGATGGTTTACCTCTTGGGTTCCATTACCCTGCCAATTACAGCAGGGACAACATCAAGAAGTTTCATCATCATGGTGAACTTCATTGTATTGGACCGTCACTCCACCTACAATATTATTTTTGGATGCCCTGCCCTCAACACCTTAAGGGCAGTGCCATTCACTTACCACCTGCTCCTCTATTTTCCAACCACCAGTGGGATCAGAGAAATCAGAGGAGACCAAGTCTTCGTCTGGGAATGCTACGCGACCTCTATGAGGGTTAAAAGGCCATAAGAGACCCTCCAAGTCAAAATATCGGACCCTCAAGATGACAGCACCTTGGAGAGAGGGAAACTAGCAGAAGAACTTTAGCTAATAAAGTTGGACGAAAGTCTTCATGAGAGGAGAATTTATATTGGCTCCTCACTTTTCCCAAGAGAAAGCATCTGACTTGGTGGACTTCCTCAGGTGGAACATGGATGTCTTCGCTTGGTCTCATGAAGCCCTAGAGGCATCAACCCTGAAATGGCCTCCCACCAGCTCAATGTCAATCCCAGGTACAAACCTGTCTGCCTGAAGCTGAGGAGTATAAGTGCTGAGAGAGGCCAAGTCATGGAAAAGCTACTAAAAAATGGGTCAGTAAGGGAGGTAGTCTATCCAAATTGACTATCAAATGTAGTGATGATTACGAAAGCCAAGGGGAAGTGGCACTTCTACGTGGACTTCACAGAGCTTAATAAAACCTGTCCCAAAGACAACTATCATCTCACATGCATCGATCTCTTTATTGATGGTACTACGGGACACGAGCTCTTGAGTTTTCTAGATGCTAACTCTAGGTACAACCAGATTAGCATGTTTCCCTCCAAACCAAGAGAAAACCTCTTTCACCACCCTAAAGGGCACTTACTACTACAGGGTGATGCCTTTTGAACTTAAGAACGCAGGAGCCACATACCAGTACCTCGTGAACAAAATGTTCAAGGTTCAGATCAGAAAAATCATGGAAGTCTATGTGGACGAT